CTAATAATATATATTATGAAGATATATAAAACCTTAATTATGCTAACCTGTTGGATAATAAAAACTGATATAATTAGATGAGCCTATCCCAACATCATTAATAGCAGAAACTGATACGGTATACAATTTGGAGTGTTCAGGATCAGTTGATAGTGTAATATTAGTAGCATTGCTCTGCTCTATCTCATTTACAAGATATCCAGTGATAGGTACGTTATCCAGTGTATAAGGAGGTGTCCATGTTATTAATACACTGGAACAATTAATAGTGGTCCAATTCAGATTTCCAACATCATCCAATAGACCTGAATAAAAGAGAGGGATAACAATCCACTCATTATGCACTAACCTTGAATCATTAATACTGCAATGCCACTGGTTTGTGCACTTGCTTCTGCATTTGAATCTAATGGAAATTGACTGAAAGCTGTACAGGTAATATTAGTGTTATTATTATAATCATAAGCTTCTGCTTCTAGATGTCCGACTTTAATATCATTAACACCAGCAGTAGTTGTTCCAAAGAATCCTTTAGCCATGACACCTACATTACTTGCTAGTGTACCATTAACATTAAAGTAAAGGTACTGAGCAGCAGCTTCGCAGCAAAAGTAAACAGTAGAGTTGAGTGTTGTATTGATAGAGACTGGCTGTACTGTTATAATATCTATTTATAAACAATAAGGAGTGAAACAGCTGAATAAGGTACAGTAAAGTACTTACTAGCACATTGACATCCACTCAACTGAAGGGCGCACAACAAAGCGGAAAGGAAGTGTAGCACGTTAATGCTAGCCATTATCGTTTAGGCTATTTGACTATTATTTTGTCACTAGTCTAGAGAACCACGCCCTAATTTTCTAAAATGCTGCTGGTTCTTCTTCTACTCCAGTGCATTGAAACATTTGATTGTGCTAGTGAGTCAATCAATCAAATCTATTTTATTTCTAATCATATTAAAGCTATAACAGTACAGCCAGTGTCTATTAACACAACACTCAACTCTACTGTTGTTTTCTCTTGTGAAGCTGTTGCTGATGTTGTGACCTTTCGAGTTAATAATCAGTCAGCAAATGATGAAACTGTAATAGCTAATGGATTTACTATATCTACATTTAATAATGGTGGCACTAGAAGAGCTGAGTTACAAGCAATAGCTTATGATTACAATAATAATACTAACATAAGTTGTGCAGTGGCTACTTTAACACCAGTAGTAGTGCAACACAGTGACACTGTGTTATTAATGATTCAAGGTTAGTAGATAGTTAATAAATTATTATCTCCTATTTCATTCAGGTCCACTGGATGATGTCAGTAATCTGGATCATACCATTATTAATGGTGGATCCAGTGTATTATTAACATGGACAGCTCCTTATACACTGGATAATGTACCTATCACTGGATACTATATAGTAGCCAATGGATTAGAAAGCAGCATTACTAATAATACTAATATTACATTATCAACTAGCCATGTTAATCCTTGTGTTTTTAATAATGTATCAGTTTCTCCTATGAATGATGTTGGGATAGGTTCACCAAATAGTATCAATTTTTATTATGAAAGAGGTTAGCATTACTGCAGTTTTATATTCATATTTACAGTATATCTTTCAGTTCCTTTCAGTAACTCTGCCATTTCTGTAACACCAGTAGTTGAGAGACAACTAGTATTATTATATATTACCATTGATGTAAGTTTAAAAAACACTAACACAATTGATGCATTGTCAAGCTATGCTAATATTTACATAACCACTACAGGTCAGTACAATATGTGAAGGAGAATATCCTAGCAATATAGCAGCTACAATAATGACTACTAACAATACCATAATAAGCAGTACCAGTATATCAACAATTCTAGTTAATGATGACATGATGATCACTGGAATAGTAACAATACCAAATAATCTAAG